GGTATCAACATTTAAGACAATATGAATTTTGCATCCAACATACAGGAATAAGGTTGCATAAAGACCCGCAGTTTTTTTCGGATCCTTTGGTGCGCTCCCTGATGGTCGCTTACATCGAGTGGAAGTCAAATAGATGTAAGTCGTATGCTTGTATGATATGCTTCTCGTTGTGCGTTAGCTCAAACTTTCTATTGTTGAATTCGTTTATATCTGCGTTTCTTCCAAAAATATGTTGGACACTTAATTTTTGCTCGCCATACGTATTCAACGATAAGAAGAAATCGACATCCTCTCTAGTGTGTTTTCCCTCTCGCAATCTGTTTAAGCGTGCGGCAAACTCGGTCTCATCTTTTTGACGCATTATAGTTGTTAACTCAACCATTGAGAAAAGCTCCCATACGTTATCTTCAACCATTGTATTCAATGATTTTGTCTTTGCAAAACAGTATCTATCGGCTACCGGTGGTAACTGAAAAAAGTCTCCTACAAATATGACATGTAATTCTCCAAACGGGATGTGTTGTTTTCCTCGTAACTCCCTTAGCCGCCAATCCAACCATCGAAATGTGTGCTCGCCAAGCATTGAAACTTCATCGACTATAACAACCTTCACGTCACATAAATTGGACCGTAGCGTGTTCACTCGTTCTGATGATAGATTTGATATTGTTCGGTTTTGCGTAACTGGAATCATTAAAGCGTTATGAATAGTGTACCCACTTATGTTAAAAGCAGCAACTCCGGATGGCGCCAATTTCAACACTTTGAGAGATGTAGGGTCAGAATGAATCGTTGCGTTAAACATCCGTGTAATCCTTTCCGTCAAAGCTCGAATGAGAACCGATTTTCCCACTCCAGCTCCACCAGATATAAACAGACGAAGCGGTGTATAACTTTTCCGTATGTGATGCACGACATGATCACTAATCGCGCGTTGTTCCGCATTTAATATCTTCTCCAGCAGCATGTATTCCGAACTGTCAACGTTGATATGCTTGAACAAATCAGTGCTCTTTTTAACAACATCTTGCATATTCAATTCGTTTGCAAGATCGATATGGTCAACTATATCATTTGAATCTTGTGTTTCAATTGATATGCGATCATCGTTGGCTTGTTCGGCTTCTTTGAATGCATCAGCCCATGTATCTAACTCTTTCGTGAACTCTTGCTCTTTCGCAATAATATCTCGCTCAAATCTGTGATATGCATCAGAACATTCAGCATGGTCGATTGGCTCCTCTCGAAAATGATGAAACAATAAAACCCTCTCTCGAATATAATTGTTATAATTCTGATTCTTATGATAATTCACAAATCTTATTATCTTAGACTTTCCGCGCTTATAATAGAATCTCTTTTCCTTAGTTAAGTCAGGACCAATCAAGTGTAATTTATGCTTGCTCGAATCGTATGGGGCCAATTCATACTTTGAAATAAAATCGGCCAAGCACGTATGTTCCATAGCTTCAGGCCTTAACTTATACTTTTGAATGCATGCGTAGGGTTCATACACGTCCGTGCTCGTTGATTCTAATTGGCGCAATTTATTAATAGATTTAAGGGTTAGTAGTCGTTCATTATGTGGTGATGTATTAATGAAGATGACTTGTCGTGTTGACATGCGATACTGTAACCCAAGTAGCAAATAGCATGCTTCTTGTGCGCTTATTTCTTGAGAATTCAACATAGCGTTTCCAATGGTACGAAGAATTCCCTTTATTCCTGATTTTTTTTTACGAGCGTATGCTAAAGCCTTTTGCATCATGGTACTCATACCTTTATTTGCTTTTGTCATGTACGATACAATGTACGCTGCCACGCTATATGGATCAATGCACAACTGAATATCCATATTCCCATTCCACATTCTGAGAAGGGTGGGATTATAATTGTTTATGTAGACATCACTTACTGTACCTGACGACGTAGAATAAGTGCTGTTCGCTTTAGTGACGACCGGATAACAAGCAGATATTCATCGAAATTAAGACTAACCTTTTGCAAAAAGACAGTGAAAGTGATATTACTTCCGGACGATGCACCATCGAGCCACTCCTTAACGCGTCTTGCATCACTCGCCAATTTTTGTCGCTCCCGTACAGAGAGGGTAGCAGGAATGGGATGTAAAAGCATCGTTGAAGGTAACGGAAATCTTGGAAAACCAAACCTACACTTACGTAAGGAACTCGATCGTTGGCAAGTTCTTGAGTGTTTGTGTGTTTGTAACGATAGCAATTGTGGATGTAAGCCTCTAGAGCTCGTACTAATATGTTTATCTGCGTACCTTATAATAGCGTCCGCTCCAGCGATGCCAATCTCGTTCGCACCTTTACTCCAAACAACGGCATGCGTATGCGGCGCGCCACGATGTTGAAATTCGTCAAGTGTAAAATAGTCATCGATTCCATCAAGAACGTCTGACTTCTTATTCAACATATAACAAAACAGCAATCTCTTTCTATGAGCATAATATCGTGCACAAGTCACAGGGTCATTTCTTACCAACGTGGTAATCGTACTATACTGTAACGGTAAGCCTATACCGGACGGCAATTTACACGGATTCCCACGTAATGTATTTACTCTTAAAAGTATCGCATGAAGATCAACCCAGCGGGTATCTGCCATTGACATGGTTATAAAGAACGTTGGCCTACCGATTTGACGCAAAAGTGCAAAAAGATCGCGCTCGCAATTGTCTCTGTATTGTTGTGTTGAACGGATGACCTTAAAATCATTATATAAGGTATCGTTTTGTTGAAGCGTGAAACGCTTATTTTCGTTCAACATATCTGTCGCGGTAAATGCTTCTAGATTCCTAATTTTGTCTTGTCGTACACGCGTGGCAATTACATTTTGCACCTGTAATATCTCTTTTTTATACATTTTGAAAAAAATGTTGGATATATTTGATGAGCATCGCCCATTTCTATGCTTTAGTTCCCACTTTGCAATATCCGAATACGATACATGCAAGTCTGTTGCTGCACGCACTCTATGATTGTTGGGAAACTCAATTCTTCGACATCTTTATCTAATATTATGGACAATGGTTTTGATTGCTCTCCTGGTGCCATTTGCACCAAGCTCTGTGATGGATGCTGATAAAAAGGCTCTTGCGTAATAAGAGTGTCGAGTACACCAACGTTTACGCTATTCGTATCGTTGCTATCACTTGACTCTCTTGATGAAGAATCGCTTTCGGCATTGGCTGAATTCGCATTGTCCATACGTGGTTTGCTGTGTATAGTGCTTAACCGGTTCAAATTAATTTTGTTTAAGACAATTTTGTTGTCAGTAAAAAGTTGTTGTCTACAAAGGAAGTTTATCGCTTTCAAGATTTTAGCAGGCCTCACGTTTTCCTCAAATGCGCTATGTTTGTACTCCATCTTGCGTTTCAATCTGACCGTAACGGTATGTGTATCATCGAGCAACCTCGGTAATGAGGATACCATCTGGTTAACTTCAACTGGAATGTTGATAACTCCGCCTCGTATACCGTACTGTTTTCCAATGGACAATGAACGTATATTCATAAATGGTATGCGCGGACTTATTAAACGCTCTTCTAGCGTTGTAAGGTTTTTGAGTTCAACGGGTTGAGACGGAAAGCCTACTTTATTTAACGTAAAAAATGGCGGATCCTTTCCTTTCCTAATGTAACGTGCACAACTTTGACACACGATTTGTTCCGCATTTCCGTGCTTCGCCTTTGCCACGTTTTGTTGAAAACACATTGTTCCACATGACGGGCATGAAAAATCGGGTCCATCTTTGCATTTCTGCAAAAACTTCTCCGTATATTGATCCTTGTTTTGTTTTACCGGTACTGCTTCAATGTTATCGTCCTTGAAAATATCGTCGAGCTCTAGATGCGCGATAAGGCCACCGCTATCATCTAGAACCCCGTTTGTTAGATCAAGTATATATTTTTTATGTTCACGAAGTTTGCTACAAATGAAATATGTTCTCGCCAATGCGGCATCTATGTCGTGCGCAAAACCTGAATGCGTATAACGTTTGCCATTACAATTCACCAAAAATTTAAAACCCTTTGCTGTACGTCTTACACCTATAAAGTGCGTGCTTCGTGGTTTATGATGCTCCACTAATTTCCTACAAAGACATAACATGGTCATCGAATTACGTGAATCTTTCTTCTTATATTGGTGAGATCCATTGTTAACATTTGATGTAGCACGGATTGGTTGCGTGTGATGACAAGTGCGACTGCTAGCGATGGTAGTTTCTGCGTCATCATGATGATCTCGCCTTTTATTGCACGAACTACTTGTTCCCTGCTTACTGTTATCTACGTTATCTTTTACTTCCTTTAGGCTATTACCCACACCACGAGAATTACTGTCATTATTAGCTCGTGCTATAGTAGCTGTCTCAGGTTCAACTGACGCGTATCTGGAGCCATATAAACTTCCATTGTTTGAAGGGAGTAGAAGAGAATAATGGCTCGCATCGATATCAAAATTCAAATGAAGTACGCCATGAAATGTGGTAGGGTTGCGTGCCCGAAAACATGCCCAAAAATGGGTTTTTCTTACCCAAACAATGACCGTCACGTTAAAAACAACTGAAAACGCCTTCACCTCATTGATAGATCCCCATTCACCAGATTTAGAGGCGTGTGTGTAATAATCGATACCTGATAAAAACGGTCTATCGAATGCGCTTCTTGCGACGAGCCAGTACTCGAATTCTGGATTTCTCCAGTTCGCAACCACATGTCTCAATAGCCTATCTTTGACCTCCTCATACCTTTCTTGCGTGTTATGCAACCATTTTGACAAGGCTCGATATAGGCAATTTCCATCACCAATAATGTGTATCAGCTCGAGCCGATACACCTTCTCAAACTCACCGACTAGCGTTCCACCGGTGATGATCATCGGAGAAGATGAACATGTTGAAGCCATGGGAAAAATCTAACTCTGTAGAATGTTCACGCAAACAAATATTGCTAGATGTGAAACATTTACTAT